TTACAGCGTTGATTCTTGTTTTGTTGGGAGTGTGCAATTTCCTTTATGAACATTGGCATGTGTTGACACGACTCTTTGCAAGGCGGGGAACAAAGAGACCCCGTGAAGAAGAAGCGTTTCCTGACATTGAGCAGCAAGCAACACCTTTGCACATTCCAGTTGGTCCAAGTCCAAGCACGAGATCATCGAGAGCAAGCAGAGAAGTGACGCCCAGGCCCCCAGTCTTTCCTCCGATGCCTGCTGACCCACCGGACAGGTGGGAACCATGGTCGCCGGAATGGTTCACGTATTTCATGCTCGGAAGAGTGAACCGGAGGATAGAAAGGCGGGGCGGTCGTATGTCTGAATCTGACAGAAGAAAGTATGAAAAAAGGCAGTGCATTTTAGCTTCTCAATTATCAATTTTAGCAAAACAGAGGTCCGGGACCGAGAATGAGAGCCCATCAGTTTTGCAGAAGCATGGCAGACCTTTCACCTGCAAGCAGCAGTTCAGCAGGGCCATCCGTCCCGGAGTTGGAAGAGCCAGAACATGAAAGTCGAGTTTCAGAGATGTTGGATGCATGTGATGGTTATTTTCATTCAGTGAAATCTCCCAGGGAGGCAGTTGCCTTCAAGTTCAAGTTCAGCTGCATACACAAATACAGAACACCCACCAGGAGGACTCCCCGAGATTCCAGACAATACAGAAGCAGACTTGGAAGAGAACGTGAGCGAGACTTCCAGTGCTAGAGGAAGAAGATACCGCAATTCGAGTTTGGAGGAAGTAAGCGACCCTGAGCTTTGGATGTTGTGGCATCATTTTGATACAACATCTTCATCTGAACCAGATGAGCAGGGCGCAAATGCAGAACCGAATGTTGGTGATGAAAACAATCCAAGCACTGGGAGCTGATTTTACATTGTACATTGATTATGCCAAAATGTTGAATGCGTGTTGCATGAATGTTTCCGTGACACATCTGAACCACGGTTACATATGGATATGGGTGTGCTCCATCTGAACCACATCCCATACAATGGAATTTACAAAGGACTTTGTGGAAATTGTATCAAAGCATACCGGAACGGCTCCGACATAGTTTAGCAAGCAAAACTTGTCGAGAGGACTTTTCCTGTGATTAGCAATTCTCGACATGTTTGGAAACACCATGTATAGATGTGGTGTAAGTACTAGAACGTACTACACCAAGGCGGGGTGTCAAGGATCTTTACATGTCAGTGTGGCTAGGTACACGTGCAGATTTGTGTAGTTGAGGTGCCACTTTTTGCTAGTTCAAAACTTACTCCGTGTAGCGCTTTGTGTCTCAAAAAAAAGCGTGCTACCAGACACGAAAGCTACCCCACTTGGGGGATACGGTGTATCAGCCGAAGATTCTGATGAAGAAATGGTCCCCATGAGTGCAGCTCCAGTGCAAAAGTGCCAGATCAAGCAAAACGTATGCTTCGATGATGTCAATGAAGGGATTAATCTGGTCGACGTTCACCCTGAATCCAACAAAGTATGGAAGGAAGTCACCAAGAAAACCCTTCGGCCTGATTTGATCTATGTACTACACGGACAACGAACTCAGGGTTCGATGTCTTTTGATGAAGATGAATGTTTTTCCACCACCAAGTAGTACGGCGTCAGGAGAAAAAATCAGGATCAAAAAAAAAAATCGTTCTTGCACACATCTTGAATTTTCACAATCAAGATACCTGTGTTACCCTCTGTCAAGCTCAGTGAGCGATCTAATGCTCTTAAATAGCGTGATCCTTTTTGCAAATCAATGACAGTCCCTAACTGCTTCATGGTTGGAATTGACAGCATTAGTGGGGTTGCTTTCGAAACGACTTCGACGACAAGTCACAAACGAGTCTTTCTATGCACTATAACTATAGGTATGAGTATTTGTTTATGGCTGTGCTCTTTTTGGCTATTGCCAAAACAAAATGCGACTCTGCTGGCTCGTTCTTTCACACGATCACGGGCTGTGTCTGGCAATTGGTTCAAGAGCTGTGGGAGCTTTTCATCTCCGATCACACTCCTGCTGGCTCCTGTATCCAAGATCGCTTGACCATTGGTCTGAAAGCCAGCCGTCATTCCGGCTTTACTGGTGAATCCGGCTTCGAGCAAATCTTTCTTTGGCTTCGGTCTTGGATTCCTGGCTTCGACACGGTTCGAATTAATTCGATGAGCAAAAAACAGTTTGGTTTTGAAATAACCTCTTCTGCAAACAGTACAGGCTCGAATGGCTTTGTGGCTGGCTCTTCGAAGAAAACATTCATTTGGCATTCGTTTCTTTCCCATTGACTTTTCCCCCAACCCGACCTCTGAGCTGGAGTCAATCTCTTAGTCTTCGAAGATCACTTGGCTGCTTTGCTCTTGGCTATCGCACTCATGCGAGGCGGATGCGACATTGGCGTTTGATTCTTTCCCTTTCAATGGGACTCGGCTTTCCAGTGCCCCAACCCTCCGCACCGTTCGCAATGCGTACGAACGATGCGACTCAGCAATTAATGTTTTCCTTTGGACTGTATTTTGCGATTTGGCTGAAGCCTCCAAAACTCCTTCTGATGAACCTCTGCCGATAGGCCAAAAGCCTTTAGCGCGCTTTCGCTCAACAAGTCTGCCCCGAGCTTCCTGGTAGCTGAGTAATGTGTGGAGATCCGGGACCTCTTGAAACAGCTCTGTCAACTGTTTCTCAAAACTCTGAACGGTCATGGCGTCTGCATCATCTGTGTTGGCCAACTGATCAAGAAGCTCTTGAGTGACCTCGTCCTTGGCCATGGTAGTGTACAGATTCTGGTCCATACTCATTTGATTTGTTGGGTCCTGAGCAATGTCCAATGTCTCATCAACATAGTTCGTTGGATACTCCTTTTCTTTTCAGCTCCTGAATGGCTTTGCTCTCAAAGACCCCATTGGTGATCGTGGGCCTTCTTCCTGTCCTCATGTCCCACATTGCTTTGCTTCAACAGAACAAATGCCCGAATCGACTTGAGCATCGCGACCTGACCGACATCCTCAAAAGCAACGTCCAGTCTCTTCACGAACTATTGTGTGGACTCAGCGTTCTTCTGAACTGTCTTGTAAATCGCCTTCTCAAACAGCTCAAAAGTCTTCAGCTCAGCACTTTGCTCCCAGGCAGCTAAGGCCGATAGCAAATGCTTGACTCCGGATTCAGGATTCGTCAACAGATCTGGCTTGATGTTGCAAAGCTGATGCCACGCTGCCCCCTTACACAACCAAGCAAGTCGTGGAGCCAACATATTCCTGTCCTGCTTAGGACAAGTCCGTCCAGGAATCGAACCTTAGCAATGTAATTGCTCCTTCACATCATCCTGGGATGGATCAAAGCTGGGCAACATGTTCCAGATCCCTCTAAACTTTTCGTCCGAACTGGCAGCTTCCGAACCCATGGCGAACCCATGGCTTCCTAACGTCCACGCTAGGCCGCTGCCAATGTGGCTGGGGTTACCCAGCTCACACTGGCAGCCTCCTCGCACAGCCAACTCTAAAGGATTCCTGCCTACCGACCAAACTCCAAAAGCGGGCCTCCGCCCAAATCAGCTCTTTTCTCCAGCCGTTCGTTCCGTTGTGTCCTGATCCTGGCCTTGAGCCACGGGGTGTGGCGAACATTCGAATGTTCCTGTGACTCCCTTGGACAAATCGATTCTCACACACATATACAAATACATATATAAACACATACCCGCAATCTATTCAATACTGATGTTTTGAATCATTTTGCGAAGACCGCGCATGTCATGTGAGCAAGTTGCATCCCACACTGCAGCCGTTAAATCTCACAAGAGACTGTGAATTGTTTTTTGCAATGGAATAGGCCACCACCAAACATGCGGCGGAGGTTTGATGATGACTGACTTGGCTAACCAGTCAAGTGCATCAAGCTCCGAAGCAGTAGACAAGCATGAGCTCATCTTTACTTCAAGGCCGGCACGTGGCAGTTTTGGCCAGATACTTGCCTTTCTGACTGAGTTGCAGGAGCACTACTGACCCGATGGATGCCTATGAAGAGGCCCGCTGACATACTGTGCGGGGTATTTTGCACAGTGCCCACTTTTTTGCTTAGGTCAAAACCTTGGGTCGCTGCTTGGCGGCGCCATGTGAATGTGTTTGCAGCGGTCCTTTCATGGGAGATGAGGGGAGTGTTATGTCGAAGTGGCTCCATGCTCAGGTGGTGCATTTGGTCAGCAACTTAATGAACGAGAGGCCGAGAGATGGCCGAATGCATTGGATCGGCCGTCAACACCTCATCCTGTGTACCGCGGCTGAGGTGTGGCGACGTTAGTGAAGTCTCGTGGACGTGTGGGAACTTGGTGAAGTCGGTTTCTTTCCTTCTTCCGATGGCGATAGCTATGGGGTTCTTGCATCAAATGCAGACTGAGTCGGCTGTGCGCGTTTAGGAGACAGGTTGTCATTGCAGGTGCTGTCAGGGCAGACGCTGTACTTGCACCGTTTCGGGTGTTTTTGGAACTGTGTGAGCGCTTGGGATACAGGGTGTCGGTTCAGGTTTGTACTGTTTGTGGCGTCTTTGAAACTAGGTGTGCTGGTGCCTTGGAACTGTGTGGGGTGCAAGTGTTGTCGGCGCAGGTGATGTTTCAGGTGCCACTTTTATCACACGCGAACGGCATGTTTCGCCAAAAAGTGGTGACTTGCTGCTGACGGAGCGGGTTTGTCCACGAATTGTGAATATTGACAGGAACTTTCTCAGGAAGAGCTTTTGCATTTTGTATTCTACCTTGCTATCTGGGGTCTAATGCGGGCTGGTGTAATCTCTTCGGTTTTTTCCTTCCTTCCTTCCTTCCTTCTTTCCTTCCTTCCTTTGTTTTAAGTGCATGTTTTGATCTGATGGTCCCGAAAGATCTGGAGTGATCGCCAAGGCCGTGCATTTAGGGCCCGGATCCAGTTGGTGAAATGGAGTTTTGCATGTGTCAGATGCAACGAAGCCCTTCAATATGCTCTGCAGTAATGTTACAGTAGAAGTTTAGAGCACATGGTCCAGGTGATCAAGCAGATTGACTTGAGCATCCTCTCTCCGATGGCACTGGAGGAATCCCATAAAGAAGTCGGCGTACTCCGACAATTGACTCACAGACACATCGTTGCATATTTTGACTCTTGGCTTTAATGTGGAGATGTGGGTGTATGTATATAGTATAGTTGATGACACTCCATTACAGCTCAGGACACTTTTGTCAAGAGCAATAGCCTGTACATTGTGATGGAGTATGCAGATGGTGGTGATCTTGCATCCTTAATCAAGCAGCACAAGGATGACGAGACACCATTCACTGAAGCAAGTGCTATGACTATTTTTGGCCAATGCCTTTTGGCACTTCAATATATTCATTCGAAGCACATTCTCCACCGCGACTTGGCTCCTGTTGCCCTTGCGAAGAATTGACATACTGGCGCCGCCAAATTTCTTTTTAATGTGCCGGCTGTCCCACTGCCAAGGCGACATCAAGTCACAGAACATTTTCATGATGCAAGCCGGCGATGCCAAGATAGGACCAGTGTGAGATATATACACGTGTGACTTTATCCATTCGTTCTGAGCTTGTGCAGCTGCTAGGGTATGACATGTACCGCAAACTGGGCTCAACCAGGGCCCTTCAGTCACTTGGAAACGAGCCGGTGCTGGAGAGTGTTTCCCAGCCCGGACTCTCACAACACCTCGCCGATCCAGAGCTGACCAGAGTTGTGTTAGCTTGGTTGATTGTGCCTGACTGGAACTATGAGACGAAGAGTGGCCCCTACATCTATGCCGGGGAGCCGGCCGGATTCCACGAATGGGAGTTCAGGACCATAGTGTGCATGAAGTTCACGAACCAGAAGATCGAGAAGAAGATGGCTGAGCTCAAGGACCAGGAGCAAGCCTGGATCATCATCACCCGTGAGGGCTCCGGAACGTGGGCGTGAACGATGCAGACGACATGGACCCCGGACGACAAGCTCGGCCCCCGAAAACGGAGGAGTTGGACATTGATGCCTTTGACTTAGCGAGGAGCAGTGACCCTTTTGCATTCGGCCCTATATGTTTCCTCTGTGCGCTTTGGAGCTTGGGTGCTGGTGCTAGTGCATGGTGCCGCCCCGGGCTTGCTGCCAAATGTCCATGGCAGATTGACTCCTGCGTGTTGGTGTCGCTTCCGGCCGCTGCAGGTGCCGCTGCCAAATGCTTATGGCAGTGGGCCCTTTGGAGTGTGGGTGCCGGTGTCGTGCTGCCCACAAATACTTTGTCCACTCTTTGGGGTCTATGCTGGCGAAATTTTCTTGTCACTACTGTATGTGCTGGTGGCACTTGCTGGCAAAATTTTATTGTCACTATGTGCTGGTGCTTTTGTGGCCATGCGGTTTGTTTTTCTTCCGGCACAGGCCCAAATGGACCAAAAGGCACCAGACAGCTATATGAGTTGTTTAATAGGTGCGACAAAGTGCGGGATAAGGACATCCTGATATCCATCTCTTGTTTTTATGTGGCAGGAGATTTCGGAATCTCGAAAGTTATCGAGGGCACAACCGCTGCAGCTGGCACTGTCGTGGCTTGTTTTCTGATAGAAGCCAGTAAGAATGTCACCGGCTGCGCGTGGTGGCTCTTCATCATGGGTCTCAAGGCCCATGATGTTCACACCTAAGGTCGGAACGCCTTCTTATTTTGCGCCAGAGATTTGCGAAGACAAGCCTTACAATTCTAAGATTGATATTTGGTCAATGGGCGTTGTGCTCTACGAGATGCTGGCGTTGGCGCAGCCATTTGCCGCATCAAATGTTGCTGCCATGATCATGAAGATAGTCAATGCAGAGCCAGCCCCGTTGCCCCCAGATTGGCGCCCAGAAGTTTGCGACGCCGCTTGTTTGAGTCTATTTGTTGTGGGAGATCTTGGCTAGAAATTTGCGGGAGAATTGTGAGTAAGGTTGTTCGACGCGCCCTCAATAAAAATGCCGATGAGCGACCAAACGCAGAGGATTTGCTTGCACTCCCCGCTGCAACTTGGCAGGCCGTAGCCATGCAAAATGTTTGTTCGTCACAGGCACGGCTTGTGGTTCTCAGCCATTGATAGTACAAAAATCAGATTCAAATTTTTGCCATTTTGTATATGTCTATTTTGCTTGCCATGTCACCATCGAACGGCCTTACATTCCTAGATAGTGCAAGTTCTTTTGCCAATGCTAGTTTGTTAAGGTTCTTCGAACAGTTTTGGCCGCTGAGGTCAGCTGCAACGACACTTCTTTGCATTGAGTTGCAGGTATCATAGCTCTTGCTTTAGTGGCCGTGTTCCAGGTGTTGCCGCATGCGGATCAGACAACGGTTCTTTCAATGGACCATTTTGAGAAGATCGATACTCTTGGACGAGGAGCACATGGTGGGATGCTCAACGATCCTGGGACTGACCCAAGATGGTAAGGCGCTAAATGCCCAGACGTGCCAGTTGAAGGTATTGCCATTTTGGTGAAACAGAAATTTGCTGGCAGCTCTGCGGCTTTGCGTGTTGTGGGATGCTCAAGAGTTTGCAAGCTGTTTTACACAAAGATGCCCAAGCACAAACTGATTTGCTTTTTTAGGTAAAGACTGTTGACTTCAGCCGGATGTCGGAAGAGGCTCAGAAAGGTGCTAAAGATGAGGTTGCCCTGTTGTGCCGGCCACAGTTGACATTCTACAAACATCAGGTTTCAGCTCTTGATGCCCCACTTTAGGCGTCGACTAGCACATCCGCACATCATTGCCTACTATGATGCATTCTTTGAGGTGCTGAGTCTGGTATATTCTTTCTTAGGGGGCTGATACGATGTCAAGCTGCCCACTGAGTTGTTGCGCTGCAGGCTGACCAGCTGCACATTGTCTTTAGAGTATGCTGATGGAGGCCAAATGAGTACATAGTGAGGAGTTGAGAGATATCCATTCATGAGTAAGAGTTTGCCAGGCGATCTCTTCACTGCGGTGCAAAGGTTCGGAGTGCAAAGTTTGCTATATACTATAGCTGCCAGCATGTCGATGCCGAAGGCGACGAGACGAGGAGTCGCACTTCAGTGATGAGGAAGCCATGCATTGGCGTGAGTCCTATGAGTCCCTGCTCTTCGCTGACAACTTTCAGTTTGCCAAACGTGAGGTTCCGGCAGTGCCTGTCAGCTCTATGCTACATCCACAAGAAGAAGATTCTTCATCGTGACATCAAGACCCAGAACATATTCCTTATGAAAACTGGCGATGCAAAGCTTGGAGACTTCGGAATCTCAAAGGTGATGGATGGAACGATGGCTGAAGCTGGAACAGTGGTGGGGACGATGCTTGGCTTTTGACTCGTGTTCACTTTGTGTTTCATAAATAGTGCTGTCCATCTTGTTGTTCACGACGTGAAGAGTTTAAGGGTTTGGGGGTTCACCTTGTCCGCAGTTTTTGGTGCTGATTCGCTGGTTTGCTGGTCTGTTGGTGCTGATTTGCTGCTGATGTTGTTTGTCGGGTCTGTCGAGTGACCATCAATATCTCTGGTCCGCGTTCTCCAACCCAACATGTTTGTGCCCATTGTAGCCCTTCCCATTTCTCTCAAACTTTTTGTCCACAAGCTGCGCCTGGTCCACTTACAACACCTTTTGTAGTTTCAGTTTGTATTGTGGCTCACACCCAGCCAATGAGGCCAGCGTACTTGGCAGCTAAGACGCAGTGAGAAGACAGGGGGTGCAAGAAGCAGTTGCCCGCCGTTGCCCAGGCCCCTGAGATTTGCCAGAATGTGCCATATGGTGCCGAGCCAAGAGCGCTTCAATTGTCAATTCCGAGCACCTGCGGCTTGAGGCAGTAGAATCGACGTGTGGTCGTTGGGCACTGTGCTGTATGAGTTGCTAGTGCTGAAGCAAGTGTCTCAGTTTGTGGCCACACTCAGAACGAACAGTTCCAATGCCCACCCAATCCTTGAGGCATCCCTTTCAGAGCAGCAACATGGCAGCCACTGTGCTGAAGATCATCTCTTCAGAACCTGCACCGCTTCCCACACGTTGCAGCCAGGAGGCCGGCGGCGTGGTGTGGTGGAGCTACAGTTTTCAACATGGTGGAGCTACAGTTTTCAACAAGTTTCTGATAAATTTGTCACAGGTAAATCAAATTGTCCAGCTCTGCTTGCAGAAAGACCCGTCCCGGCGGCCGTCCGCAAAGGCCGGGTTTTTGCGAGCCCTTCCTGTGATGCCAGATGTATCGCTTGTGTGTAGGAGCTCCTCGCTCATCCTGCTGTCAAGGGCTTTGGTGAAGAGACTGCACGGCCCGAAGCACAGCAAAGGAGAGAGGGTGAGAACAAGAGTGAGCCGCGTTTAAGCTTTTGTCAGGAGAGAGAGAGAGAGAGAGCGAGAGAGAGAGAGAGAGAGTGGCTCAAGACTTGAAGCCGGTTCACATGCTGTGTTGGTGGCATTGGCACTACAAGGTTGTGATCTCCTTTGGCCTTCCCTATTTCCTAGGTGGCCTTGCCCTTGCCCGTAATTGAGGTGGAATATATCGAGGCAATCTTCCTTGGTGGTGGGTGGGGACTATGACCTCCAATGGATGGGACGGTTTCCGCAAGATCAGAGCAAGAAGATCCTACCTTGTATGTCACGGGTGTGAAAGCTCATGGATTTGGTCAGACAGGGTGAGTATGAGCAGGTGGTGCTGTGACCACTGTGGGCGTCAATGGCCCAATTTGAAGCATGAGCAGTCATCCGCCGTGCGGCAGCTCACCAACTGACCCTGAGCTGACCAGTGAGGTCCACTGCAGCCGGCTTGGCTGGCGTCAGGACAGATTGAACTGTCGTCCTCACTTCTTCAGGAAGACCCTGAAGATGAGCCTTCAACAGTCAGTCCGCTCCCATGACTTTCAAGGCGTCTTGCAGCTCTTTTGGCATGTTCGACCCACCTTTCTTCAAGGTAAGCTCAACAGTACTGGGAGACTCAACCTTAGTGGTTCTCCTCGGTCTGGGCTTCCGAGTGGGCTCCGTCAGCTCTCCAATCGGAAGCAAACCTTGCAGAAGAAGGTTGATCAGCCACAGCAAGATCCTGCTGGAGGAGTTGAAGTCTGTCCAAGAAGCTACTGACAAAGAGCGCAAACAACTTGGGGATCAGTCAGCCGAATACTCTGGCTCTCCTGCTCTTGAACATATTCTGGGTCCAGACACCACGGAGCACGTGTTGAAGGCAATGGGGCAAGCGGGAATAACTTTCAATGGTGGTCAACAAAAGGAGCTGGAGCGGCTGTTGGCAGACTCTTAGCAAAGCGCTGCATGACAAGGGGTGACACCCAGAAGAGTGGGTAACACTTTCTGGTTGACACCTGCAAGGGGCCAAAAAGTGGGCAGTCCTCTCTCAGTGAAGGGGTCGTGTGGGACAGATTGCTCCGTGTGGCAGCACCTGGGGGATAGGATAGATCAAACTATTGGGAATGTTTGAGTGTATGGAAGTCAAGGGATGTCGTGTGATTGGCTTGGGGAAGGGCCACGCATGATGAAATTATTTGTGACGGACAGCGTGCAACGGAATTTGAGTTGATGCAACTCTTGCAAGTTTTGTAGACTCCTCTCCTTGGATGGCGGGTGCTGTGTGTGGCAGCATGGGGACTGATGAGTCTAGGCCAGCCAGATGAGTGGGAAACTGGCGCCAAGCTCTTCTTCGTCTGAGCAGCTCCTTGGCGAGACTGCTACCATCGGGACCTGTGTGCCTGCTTCTCTTGGCGGGCCCCTGACCCTTGTAGGAGGAGGAAAGCGGACTTTGGAAGAGATGGATGGATGAAGCCAAAAAACAGATCCACAGGCCAAGTGAATTGATTGCTCATCTCACACCGCTGGTGGACCGGCTTCAAGAATTCCTTGCCCAGGCTTTCCCTTGATGTGTTGGAGGCCACGGACTTCAGCATCAAGGATAGCAAAGTGTGGGCTCTGGAGATTATGAAAGGGGTGCAACTCGGACACTTCACCTTCACAGCGCTGGAGTGGGACCAGCCTCTGCGTGAGGCATTCCCAGTGCCATGGAGCTGATGGCGGCAAACTGACGCTGGTGTTGAAGAATCCAGGGAAGCTGTTTTGCAAAGTGTGTTTTGCGAGCGTGGTGCTGGGTGGGAGCTTTTCATGATGACCCGCAGAAGGTTTGGTGCCAGACAACCCCTCTGTGCCTCCAGCTTCTGCAGCAGCCCCTCATTGATATCTTTCTTGCGTCAGAAATTGATCGCTTCTTGGAACAGATGGAGCGCCCTGAAGCTCAGCAAGATGCATCGGAGTTCCCCGGGAGAGAGCCAACATCCAGAACTGCCGAGGCCTACACGGAGCCCGGGAAAGTCTCATGGGCGCCAGGATTTGGCGCCGTGATACGGTGCCCATCTTCGTCAGGATGAACCAGGACCAAGACGCACGTCAAGGAATTAGCCATTGAGGCACCATTGAGTCAGCGGGCAATGAAGCAATGTCTGGCAGAGCGTTGAGCATGTGGCCTTCCATATTGGCCGGTACGGCCTCATTGGGAAGGATTGGAAGAAGCGTCAGAATCCCCTGCTTCTTGAGTTGAGGTTTCAAGTGACGCAGCGCACTGCTACAGGGCATTCCAAGTGGACGTTGGGTGACGACAGAGACTCTGGCCACTACACTTGTGGTCTGCTGGCTGGAGACTCATATTGTGATGATGAGCAACACCAACATTGGTGGACACTTGGCCAGAAGACATCACGAATGGGGCATGCCCCCCAAAGATACGGCACGCTCCTTTCTGGATTGAGCTGGTGGGCCACTTTGCCAAAACTGCTAAGAAGCGGAGGGCTAGTCATGATGGCATTGTGGTGCTATGCGGGAATGTCACCAACTGGAATAAAAGGACGTCCGCCAATCGATGCAAATCGATGCAACGGGACACAACTGAAGCCATCTTGTTGGTAGAGACCGGGTGGTGACGAACTGAGCACTGCCATGCCAATGGCCAATGCGCAGCCCAGTACCATGGGCGTTCCTATGACTACCAGGGTCATGTCTTTCGCGCCAACGATGGAGGCGGCGGTCATCAGCACCTACTTCAAGAGTGGAGACGATCTGACACCTGTCACCAATGGAAAGGTGCTTGCAGAGCTCACTTCAATGGTGAAGGACTTGGCTATCCCATGGCTGGTCATTGAGGACTTCAACGCATGGCCCCTGTTGAGAGCAACAGATGAGTCCACGATCCTCACTGGCAATGAACTTGATTACGCCTTGGTGGCAAGAGATCTGGCACCTTTCGCGACCCTCTCCGTTGCCCTTGAGGTTCCTTTTCTTGACAGGATGCGAAGGCACCTCCCACCAAACTATAGCGCAGAGCATGCTGGCAACAACATCAGGAGCTGAGGCGGTGAAGAAAGCAGTTGAAGGCAAGAGGTCATCAACAACAGGTTGGTCAAAATTGATCGCAAAGCCCAACATCTTTGACTATAAGTCACAAGAATTATGCTATTCAGAGAGGATCTTTGAGAAGTACTTGAGTGCAGTTGATGAGGGCTACGTGAAGGAGTTGAAGGAAATTCATGAAAAGCAAAATGATAAATTTGACAAGGACTTGGCAAATGAGGCAGAGAATCCCAGGTGCATCAAGCTATGAATTGTTAGTTAGATCGTTGATGAGCGGAAGGGCGCTGCAATTGATGAAACCGGTGGAAGACTCCAATGGGTTTGATGTCTGGACAAGGTTGAATAAAGCTTTGAAACCAATTTCAAAAGCCAACTTCAAAGGCAAGAGGCTTAGCGCTCTTGGGAGCAGCCACTACATGGCCAGCATTTTCAACGAATAGTGCGCTACAACCTCAACTCTTGAAGCTTGAAGAAGTATTTGATGAGACAGTCAAGTCATGAGTACGGTTCAGGAAGGGTTGAAATCTGCTATTCTTTGGACTTTGTGGGTGGACAGCGCAAATCCCACTTGAACAATACTCAACTTTGAGGGAACAAGTGTTGCAATGGGTCGCTGTCAACAGAAGTGGGCTACTTCCATGGTTGGCCAGTAGCAGTACAGACTACCAAGGCCCTATGCCAATGGACGTTGATCGAGTCCCAGATGCCAAAGGACAAGGTAAGAGAAAGGAAAGGAAGGTGGTCATAAATAAGGGCAAAGGTAATGGCAAAGCCCAGAAAGGCAAAGGTTGCAACATGTTACACTTGTGGAAAGCCAGGGCATCTTGCTAAAGACCTTGGGGGAACAATATTCGACAGGTAGCAAGTGATCAAGCCCATTCATCTTCAGGAGGAGAGCATTCGTGACTACCAATACAGTTGGTCAACAGCATGCCGTGGGCAAGAAGTTCTTCTCAAAGAGAATGTGATCTTCAGTTCAAAGGTGAATCAACCCATACTTTGTTTATGGAAGATTGATGGAACATGGTTGGGGAACCAACAGCAGAGGGCCAATGTTGGAGCATGGTGACCTACAAAACCGCTCTTTGACAGTTCAAGGCCGCATTAGAGTCATTCGAGATGAAGATGATACAGTAGCTATTTGGAGGTGCAGGTACCAGCTTTGGAGAAAGAATCAAGTTGGAGACTCAATGAGCGCAGGCTGCTAGTTGGAAGCTTATTGACTTCGCACCGTCAGTCCAGAAGTGGAAGGATCACCAGAGTTAATGAGAACCACTGTGGTGAAAAGAGGAGGCAGATGGTTAATGCTTGAATATTGTAGTTAATGTATGAGTATTGTGAAAGCACGATGAAAAGGTTAGAACTTGATGAGAAAATCGTTGATGATGATGCCGTCGTTCCTTCGATCACAATCTTCAGCTATGAGCCAGCACCGCTATTGGCGCTTGGAGACATTCTCAGGTTCAGACTGGAGTGGGAACAGAAGCCACAGAAAGTCAACGTCAGGAGGATTTCGTGCGCTGAATAGTTGTCCATTGTTCAACAGCAGCAGAACACAGCAGAACTACATGCGATAGTTTCCTCAGCATCAGTTGGAATCTACATTCGGGCAGTTCTGGAATGGTGGGCCATTATACATCTTCACAGATTCATCAAACGCACGCCAACTTGTGATGAAGAGAGGGGTTGGAAAAGTCAGACACTTGGATGGGCAGCTGCTATGGATTCAAAACAGGGAAGGCTTCAAGATGGTACAGGTACCAACAGATTGCAACATGGCAGACCTCAGCACAAAACCACTTGGAGGACAAAGAACCAGATGCTTGATGAACCTCATTGGGTATTGGCAGTGAAGACCAAATCAGAGTAGGAGAGCACCCATGTTGGGCAAAGTGTCTGTGTTCCAAAATGATCCCCAAGGTGTTGTAAGATTGCAGTCTGAGTAGCTTTGTCACGGGTCTCTGTTCCATCCGCCAGCCTTCTTTTGTCAAATCGGAATTGCTGGTCGTTGTTTTTTGGGAGTTGCTTTTTGCCTTTTTGGTTATTTTCGTAGCTGATGCATTTCCCACTCGGAGAAAGGCAGGAAAAGAGGTTCATGATCGCTGAGGCTGGAATCTACTAGCTCAGACCTTGGTTCCACCTGGGGCCCAATCGTGGAGGAGGTGTGTGTTAGTGTTGAAATCCTTTATTCGGGCCCTTACCTTGACCTTCGTTTGCAGGACGGCGAAGAGTCAGCCACTCTTGATGGAGGCATTGGTGTCATTTCGGTTTGCTTCGCAAGGAAATCGAATGATTGGATTTGAGGTCAAACACGCCTTTACAAAGGCGAGTTTTGCATTGCAGACCCTGATGGCGACAGATCCCTCAAGGCAGAGGGATGCGTGGCCCAGTGATCAACATGAGTTGGGAGATTGTTCCCCACCCCACATCACTATGTGGGGCACTGCAGGGTTCTTGTTTTTTGCTCTGCGCCCACCGCTCCGTCTTCCCGTCCCGTCTTCCGTCCCTCCACTCATCTCACACCACTCACTCATCACACACCACTCATCTCACACCACTCACTCATCACACACCACTCATCTTACACCACTTATCACACACCACTCATCACTTACACTCATCACACACCACTCATCTTACACCACTCATCACACACCACTCATCTGACACCACTCATCACACACCACTCATCACTCACGCTCATCACACACCACTCATACACCACTCCTCTGACACCACACCACTCATCTTACACCACTCATCACGCACCACTCATCTTACACCACTTCTCACACACCACTCATCACAAGCGGTCGTGTGGCAGGCGCAGTACACAGAGCCTTCAGGAGGACCTGCGGGACGCGCGGGCGCCGCTGGGCCGCGGTTGCCTTTCGTGTGGCCTGGCAGGCGCAGTACACAGAGGCTTCAGGCCGCGAATCTGTGCAAAAATCCTGCAGCGTTCTTTGGACAGGACTCATCGCACGGCGCACTCATCTCATACCACTATTACATCACATCAGACCCACATCACACACACACATCAGAGACACACACACACATATCACAGACGCAGACACACGTCTCTCAGTCATTCGCCTCATCTCACTCAACTCAATTCAACTCAACTCAAGTCAACTCAACTCATCTCGCTCTCTCCCTCTCTCTCTCCAGTATTTTTCCGTCCTCTTTCTCTACTTCTCGTTGCTAGTTCTTACAAGCTTAACATGTGGTGTTATCCGGTCCTTTTATTTTTGTTTGTTATTCTCGAATGAATATCGAAGGGTTCTCGTTCGCGACTCGTTGTCTGAGCGACCGCAACCGTTGTCAACCATTCGCAACCGTCCGCAGTAGACCGCTAAGGCGCTGCCATTGGGGAAAGCTTTTGGAGAGGGTTTGGGATGGAAGCGTGATGGGTCAGATTCGTGTGAAATAGCGTGGAAACGTGTGGAAACGTAAGATGTTGAAGTGTGGGGGATGATTTCACTGCACAGGCATAGCATTTTGTGAGATGGCAGTTTTCTGCGCAGGCGTTTGGGGTGGTGTTTTTGTGGTGTTGGGTGCGGCTGTGACATTGGGATTTGCGTTTCAGGGTGTTGCATGGAAGCTGCGTTTTCGTGACCAGTCTCAGCTCAAATGGCGATTTTTGTGGATGGGAGTGAGCTCAGAACGTGTCGAAATCATTCCAAACGTGTGGTGCGGCGCAAATTTTTTTTGAAGCTCACATGATATGATATTGTCACTTTTCGTGGCGGGCGCAGTACTTTGTGCGGGTTTTGAGGTGTGGAAGTACGATTTTCGTGGCAGGCGCAGGGAATCGCGAGGTTGCGAGGTGTGGCGGAGTCGCTGTGACATTGGATTGGCGTGTGGGCGGGCGTTGTTTGGAGGGGCTGGAATCGCCAAACTGCTTGGCAGTCTTGAACTGCCTGCTTCGTTGTCAGCAGGGATGTACTCTTCTTCACCGGTCTCCTGATGCCATCGGTGTCCAGGCATGTGGCGCCATAGCGACATTGATCAAAATCCGCTCGTTGGCCTGGTAGATCACGGAGTGCACGAGTGCGCCAGGACTGCGCATGCTTGGGCTGTTCCAGATGACAGTGCCGTCCATGATGAACCTGTCGCAGGTAGACTCGGCGACAGAACATCAAGCGCCGGTCGGGATGGTGTTGTCGTGCTGCTTGAAGGGGCCTCCTGCTGAGCGGGTGTGCGACGTCCAAGGGACTGCGTGCGACTCCACAACTTGCAATCCGGTGCCAGGAGGATCTCATCAGGGCATTCTTCATCTTGAATGTCCAGTTGGTGGGACAAGTTGTTGAAGCCCCATCCGGTCTCATAGGAGAATCTCCGCACCTCCATTCCAAGAGTTTCCGCCACCTGTGAAGTGCGTGACGCTCCACAATAGACTTCCCAGAGTTTCCGTCGAGATTCTTGGGGATGTAGCTGCTTGGTGACATAGGCTGACAGCTCATTGAGGTGAGTGTTCAAGTGGATGTCCATAGTCTTGAGATCATGGCGACGAAGAGGCTTTGTGTGGATGCAATGAGCTCCTCTAGGAGTTCTGACACACTAACAACTCTCCTCCTTCTCAAACTCAGCGAGAGGGATGCCCTCTTCCTGTACTCACGGCGCCTCGATGATGGGTCGGCCCAGCATGGGTGTGTGTCTAGGAAGCAGGAACAACTGCACTGTCCCATAGCGACCATCCAGGAAGATAGGCAAGTGGGCGCTCACAACTCGACCAAGAAGCTGCATCTCCACCAAACTGGAAGCGACGCCGGCGATCCTCAAACATGATCACGCCGTGCTCCTCTTCACAGAGTTGAGCCATTCCCTCAGTTGGCGCAGGACGTTTCAGGCTCGAGCCCTTGGAAGTCGAGCTCTGTGGGCATCACTCTTCCCTGCGCCTTGTGGTGGATAGGGCACTGTTGTTGATGACTTCCCTTTTGACTTGCCACCTTTTCCCTTTCCTTTTCTCTGCCAAGACGTTGGGCTCGACGTGGATGAAGATGCACCGGTTGTCAGCCAGGGCTACAACTGGTAGAAAACCTCGAGCCATCTTCAACTCATTGAACCTGCGTCTGGCATCCGTGTAGGAGGCGAATGCTGTGTCAAATTCCTCAGCCAGGTGTTCAGGGCTGTTGGATTCTGTGGCCTCCTCAAGCCACGGTTCCTCGCCATAGTAGGCGGCATCAGCATCGAACTCCTCCTCCTCCTCCTCAAGCTCATAGTCGGCCACTTGTTCATCATCTTCATAGTAGCCGGTCTCATCCTCCCAACCATAGTCATCCTCCTCCCACCAGTCGCCCTGTGCGGCATAGGCGCGACTGCTGTTGCTCCATCGTTGAAAGCACTTGTTGTAATCCTGGCCCAGGATGAGGTAGAGCGCTGCAAGGTGTTGAAGTATCCCTCAAAGTCTGCAGGGAGCTGTTTCCATCTAACCTTCAACATGGACTCAAAAGCGTCCTCCAGCTCGAATTGCTCCAGTGACCAGTCGTCGAAGAGTCGCCAGACCACGCCCTTAAAGCTACTTGGATGGTCGGCTTGGTTGCTATCTGTCTGGCGTCTTTAGCCTACTTACATAACTGCTGCAACCTAAGATATAAATTCTCTAACCTAGGTTATTAACTCTGCTAATCTTCCCAACTTGTTGGAGATGTTACTAAGTCTTCGCGCTCCGATATATCTACATACTAAGGAGGACAAGTAGTTGGCCCAACATTGGGCTAGATACGATTCTACTTACACATGTCAGCCATCTGATTTGGCGACGTTAGTATGTTGTTTGGCTTGGTTAGTTACTTGGGCAACTGCAGTTACTAAGTTCGGCGGACAGCACTTAGGCAAGTTGCGCGGCTTACTTAGCAAGTCTGCCCGAGGATACTTAGCGGCCCACTTAGCTGCGCGCCGTGGCCTACTTAGCAAATAGGCCGGGCTTGCTTAGCAAGTGTGCCCAACCCTCTTAGCAAGTATGCCTTGGCCTACTTAGCAAGTGTGCCCGGCCCACTTAGCAAGTGTGCCAGGCCTACTTAGCAATGAAGCCAGAGGGGAAAAATGTTGTTGACTTGTGCATATGTAATTACATGTATATAGAGTTTATACCAATCCATGGGGCGCATACAAACAACAGGCAATGGCAGCGAAAACAATTGCAAAGAACCTTGCGCTTGGCCACAAGCAAAGCGTAACATATGCAAAGCCATGGCTTGGTGAGTTGAATAACTTTCTTATTTTTTTTTGAGGCTGTAATTTGCGTGGCTATTCCTGGTCCATGGCAGGAATTTTTTTCACACGATCCCAAATACGTACCCAGCGAGCTTCCCATATATAGGCGGAGGGTTGCCCTCACACCCGACTTGCGCTGTTGGTGCTTCAGTGCTTCATGTGTCATGTGAACTTGAAGTGTGTGTTGTCCTTTTTTAAAGACTTGCTGATTTTACGCATTGGGCTTCACCGCGCAGTTTGCAGAATGTGTTCTCGAAACCCGCAGCCAATAAAACCAGCAATCTTACAGTAACTTCATAGGGTCGAGTTCTTCACTGGTTGAAAGTGCACAGAAATAACCAGGAGTAATTTGTTTCAGGGACACTGGTCAGATCAACTTTGACATTTGTGTGGCGGCACCTGTCTCGCTGGGCTAGTCTCGCGAGTGCATGGCGCTTGCAGCCGCCGCCGAGAGCGTGGAGGGATGCTTAGCTCGTGCAGAGGAGGGATCGTTGGCTTCGTCTGTGCAAACAATCTTGGAGACGTTGACGGCGCACAAGCTAGCTTGGCATCAGGACATCTTGCCGAAGTTCATTGGCATTCATCAGTCCAACCGTGACTCAGCTACTGAGGTTAGGAAAGGTAATGCCTTTATATAGATAAATATAGAACAAACTAGAAAACCATCTAAGGTCACTTGACAAGTTTTGATCAACAAAAAATTTGTATACTGCCATTCCATGCAGTTTATATGGAGACGTTGCCGGTACTCAGAAGTGTCTGTTTTCCTTGCCTGTCTAAATTCAGAGGTGACGGCGCCGGTATTTCAATTGCCCATTGCCACGCTTTGGTCGACGGGTTCAGCAGCGTTGGCTTCCACAAGGCCTTCGCGCGAAACATATGCGTGGAGGTGTTACCAGGAGATGTTGACACTGTGCAGTTCAATGAGCGGCTAGTCCTGGAGTCAGCTGGAAAACTACCTGGGCTTCATGCCCTGAGGTTTGCGTCGATCAGTGGATCGCGCACAAATGCGTGCCTTCGTTGCATCAAAGCGGAGGTGGTTCATGAAAAAGGCGATGAATCAATCACGGAAGGTGGTCGCGTGTCTTTGACAAAGGTGAGGGCCAAGGATCCATGTCTCGCAGAGGCGGTTTGCAGTGGGATGCTGGCTGGTCATCAGCAGGGATGCTGTTGA